TTGAGTTATCCAGAAAAGACTGGGGTTTTAAGCCAATTCAACCATGGGACTTAAAAAAGCCCTTAAAACAACTGAGCATCAATTTCCCATATATAAAGTAACTGGCATTAGTATCATTCTCAATGGTGAAAAGCTGAAAGCAATTCCATTAAGATCTGGAACAAGACAAGGATGTCCACTCTCACCACTGCTTTTCAATATAATACTGGAAGTCCTAGCCAGAGCAATAAGACAAGAGAAAGACATACAAGGAATCCAAATAGGAAAAGAAGAAGTCAAACTATCACTATTTGCAGATGATATGATAATATACATAGAGAACCCTAAAAACTCCACAGAAAAACTAATTCAACTCATCAATCAATTCAGTAAAGTGGCAGGATACAAAATCAACACGCAAAAGTCAGTAGCCTTCCTATACACAAAGAATAAATCTGAAGAAGAAGAAATCAAAACAACCATCCCTTTTAGTATCGAAACAAAAAAAATCAAATATTTGGGAATAAATCTAACAAAAGAGGTAAAGGACCTTTACAAAGAAAACTATAAAACACTGTTAAAAGAAATAGAAGAAGACACAAAGAAATGGAAAGACATCCCCTGCTCATGGATTGGAAGAATAAACATTATTAAAATGGCCATCCTACCAAAAGCAATATACAGATTCAATGCTGTTCCAATCAAAATTTCAATGTCATTCTTCAAAGAAATAGAACAATTATTGATGAAATTCATATGGAATCACAAAAAAACCCCGAATAGCCAAAGCTCTACTGAAAAAAAAAAAGAAGGAAATGGAGGCATCATACTCCAGACTTCAAACTATACTACAAAGCCATAATCATCAAAACTGCATGGTATTGGAACAAGAACAGACATACAGACCAATGGAATCGAATAGAAAATCCAGAAATAAACCCACAGATTTATGGTCAACTAATCTTTGACAAAGGAGCAAAGAGTATGCAATGGAGCAAAGAAAGTTTGTTCAATAAATGGTGCTGGGAAAACTGGGTTGCTACATGCAAAAGAATGAAGCTTGACCACTACCTCATACCATACACAAAAATCAACTCAAAATGGATTAAAGAACTAGACATAAGACCTGAAACCATAAAATACATAGAAGAAAATATAGGCGAAACACTACGTGATTTGCATATCAAAGACATCTTTACAGACACATCACCCAAAGCAGTGATAGTGAAGGCAAAGATAAACAGCTGGGACTACATCAAATTAAAGAGCTTCTGCACAGCAAAAGAGACAATAACAAAAACAAAGAGAAACCCCACCGACTGGGAGAACATTTTTGCACACAACACTAATGATAAAGGACTGATCACAAAAATCTGCAAAGAGCTGATGAGACTCAGCAACAACAAAGAAAATAATCCAGTCAAAAAATGGGCAGAAGAGCTAAAAAGAAACTTCTCTGAAGAGGAAATGCAAATGGCCAACAGACATATGAAAAAATGTTCAACATCACTTGTAATCAGGGAAATGCAAATCAAAACTACCATGAGATACCATCTTACACCAGTGAGAATGGCACATATTAAAAAAACTAGCAACAGCAAATGTTGGCGAGGGTGTGGAGAAAAAGGAACTCTTCTGCACTGTTGGTGGGAGTGCAAACTGGTCCAACCACTATGGAGAGCTGTGTGGAGATTTCTGGACCTACTAAACATAGAGCTTCCATATGATCCAGCAATTCCACTCCTAGGTATTTACCCAAAGGACACAGAAACATCAATTCCAAAGAACACCTGCACCCCTATGTTTATAGCAGCACTATTTACAATAGCTAAGCTTTGGAAACAGCCCAAATGCCCAAAAATAGATGACTGGATCAAGAAGATGTGGTACATATACACCATGGAATATTACTCAGCATTCAAAAAAGATAAACCCATGCAATTTGCAGCAACATGGATGGCGCTGGAAGGGATCATGCTCAGCGAAATAAGTCAAAAAGAAAAAGAAAAATACCGGATGGTCTCACTCATAGCAGGAATCTAGAAAACTTAAATAAGGGACCAGGAAAATGAATAACTATAAGAAAGTGAAAATCAAAATCAACAAAAAACTATGAACCAGAGACACTTTTTGGGGGGTGGGGGGCGGGAGGGGAGGGATTGTGGTCAGAATGGGGGGTTTGCAATTGTATGGGGGAATATAAAAATAAAATTTATTATTTAATAAATAAATAAATAAATAAAGTAACTGGCATTGATGAGAAAATCTTTAAGATTGCTTTTCGTTATAAAAACCCTCTACTTTTAATAATGCATGTTTATATTTTTAATAGATGTTATATTCATTTTAATAGATGTTATTTTAACATCATTTTAATAGATGTTATATTCATCTTCAAAAGAAGAAAAAACTAAAAAAGTATTGTGTTCTGAGTCCCATTCCCACACTCACTTCCACCTCCAAACTCCATATCCCACACTGAAGTAATTTTCACTCATTCTCAGGTAACCTCTCAGAGTGTTTAAAGAAACATGAGCAAACACACACTACTTGCCTCTTTCCGGGGGGGGAAAAAAAAGGCATCAACACCCTAGCTGCTGACCCACATCACTCACAGAATACCTTGGAGAGCTTTCCACATCAGGACAGGGATTCATTATACAAATATTGAAAATCTGTTCACCCAGTTCTATCCAGAAAGGCACTTTGATTTTTTTCCAGTCTTTAACTAAAATAAAATACATCATACTACAAAATACAAACTTTAATGCATCTCTCTGTTCAGTGTAGGATAACTTTCCAGAACTGGGACTGCAGAATCAGTGGGTCAGTGCCACTATAAATTTTTTTTAAGATTTTATTTATTTATTTATCTATTCATTCATTCATTCAAGCACTGGGTACAGTCAGAAGCATGGGAAGGTGAGAGAATTCACCAGAGCTAGAGCAGGGAGCAGAGCAGGCAGAAGGACTGAAGTACACTGCTGAGGGGAGCAGCGGGCGGCAGGAGAGGTCTGCGCACCATGTGGGAACCTCTTCCGGTGGCCGGGGAGCAGCCAGGGATCGAACCGGCGCTGCAGAGGGCTGCGGGCAACTTCGCAATCCAGCGCTCAACCACTGCGCCACCGGGGAGGCCCAGTGCCACTATAATTTTAATAAAATCTGCCAAACTGCCTTCCATACAGTTTGTACCTGCCTGCACTGTCACCACCAAGTCTGAGAATCCTCATTCCTCCACACTTTACTCAAAGCAGAGCACCTCATTTTCTTTCTCTTGGATTTCTACTCATCTGATGATTATGTGCCATATGAGTATAAATGGTATATCTCTTATAAAGTTTGCATACAAGTCATTGTGTCTCTTTTCCTGTGAACTATCTACACACACTCTGAAACCTTCTTCTATAAGTTGCTGGTCTTTTTCTTACTGGTTTATTTTTATTTTTATTTTTTTAAGATTTATTTATTTATTTATTTATTTATTTATTTATTTATTTATTTATTTATTTATTTATTTATTTATTTATACAAGCACTGGGTACAGTCAGAAGTGCGGGAGTGTGAGAGAATTCACCAGAGCCAGAGCAGGGACTAGAGCAGGCAGAAGGACCAAAGTACACTGCTGAGGTGAGCAGTGGGTGGCAGGAGAGGTCTGCGCGCCATGTGGGACCCTCCTCCGGTGGCCGGGGAGCAGCCGGGGATCCAACAGGCGCTGCAGAGGCTGCGGGCAGATTCGCAACCCAGCACTCAACCACTGCGCCACTGGGGAGGCCCTCTTACTGGTTTATAAGTAAAAGAGCTACTATTTCAGATGACTGTCCCAGAACCAAAAAGAAAAAAGCTCCTGCAGGTGATTACAGGAGACCCACTGGGTCCCAGATTAATGATATTTGTCACTCCTTGAATGCTTTAAGGGTTGAAAGGGGGTTATCCCTGAGATTTATTTTATTCAAAGGTACGAACTACAATCACCCAATGTTCCATAAATATCATATCCATAATGAAACTTTCCTTCTTTTTTCCTCCTCTTTTTGGAGATTTTTCAAAAGGTTTACTTCACTTTCAATAGGGAAAAGAACAGTTTGGGAGACTGCACCAAAACAGTTTCACAAATATTATAAACATTTGGGTGATAATGAAGCAATGATAAGTGTGGCTAAATATTAGGTATTAAGGAGCCTCTGCTCCATGGGGATGAACACCAAGGATGAAAAGGATGACAGCCCAGTAGAGCATTCGCGTTATATAAAGCAGATGCATGTTGTATCTGCTATCTGATCACAATGAGGAAAACTGGAACTTAGTCTCTGAGTATCAACTGATTTCCCAATGTGGTCAATACTGTAAATAATCCAGTCACTGGTGATCTGATAAGGTCAGCATAAAAACCCTGTATTATTTGAGGTTATCTTTTAAAATCCCCCCCAAATTTATTTTTCTAATGTCTTCAAATTTCCTCTATTATTCCCTTTATTTTCCATCACATCTTCTCATCTTTCTTCTTGCTGTTTTCTTTCCTGAATAAATCTTAGACCAACAACAAATCACACAACTAAACTTGATCCCAATTTCAAGCCACTTTAATTCCCAATTTAATTATTTTAATGAATTGTAGCATCAAGCCGTTGAAAATCTGAGAGTGACTTGGCTCTGGGGAAATTCTGATTAGAAATAAAAAATTAAAGAAACGTTTAATTCGTGTTTTGCTGCCTATTGAAAGTGACTTCACAGCACTTTCAAGTTTTCACCTCAATCATTTAGCAACTCTGTACCTAGATCACTACACAAACCAGGATAGCTGGCTGGATACTTGAATTTACACAAGTGGAGAAGAAACCCAAGGCCACACTTCACAAGAGAAGGGAGCAGTAATGAAGTCCTTTGTCAACTAACTGTGAAATGATTTCCCACTATGTCTAAGTTATTTTCATTATGAACTCAAGATTAACAAGTACATCACTTCGGAGACAATACAACACCCTCCTGAATTACCCAAAGTTACATTTTCCCAGAATACTAACCTTTGGGAGGTGTGAGATTGACCCCATTTTTAAGGCACCATTGTACTGGTAAAATCCCCACAGAATCTGCGTGGCACAGCATTGAGAGCTCACTAGGTTCTGGTCTTAGGTCGTCAATAGTCACTTGAAAAAAATGATTGTTAAAAACCTGAAAGAAAAACAATAGAACCAAAGGTTACTAACTTGGGGTTAACATAAATGTTAGTATATACTATTTCTATTTGATCAAAATGTTGTGGGCCCAAACTGGCATTTCTAAGAACATGACTAAAATGATTCAGTTGCAAAAAGTTAGAGTTGACCATGTGGTTATATTCATGGAAAGAGAAACGGTTAACTAGAATATGTAGGAGATAGAGAATGAAAATATCAGTGACTTTAGTGAAGTAAACCAATAACCATAGTTTGAAGAACAACAAACTGATGAAAAAAGACACACACACACACACACCAGCCTAGAGCAAAGCCAAGTTGGGCACAAAGGGCACACTGGTTTCCTAGTGTCCTCGGGCGACCCAGTTCTTGCTACCGGATCATTCAAGAACTTCCACACTCTGGTTTGGAGAGTTCTAGCCCGATCTTGTATTTCACATCCCTCCAGCTAGCCACCCTTCAGCACTAGCGGAAATCACAAACCCCAGACATGCCCTTACTCAGCATTCTCATTGGGATGTTTTCCCAGCCACTCCAACTAGACTACAGGGCAACTGCTCTGTGCCTCCAAAGCCTCAGATAGGCCCCCTGCTCTGGAAATCCTCATTCCTTCCTGAGGACCCACTCCATATCTGGTCTCCCCAAGAGATGCTAAGTCCTTTGATTTGTAGTACTACATCACAGTATTCCCACAAAGTACTTTCTACCTAGAAACTGGATAACCACACTGAATATAAGAAAGACAAGAATGGGGCCTCCCCGGTGGCGCAGCGGTTGAGCGCTGGGTTGCGATGCTGCCCACAGCCTCTGTGGCACCGGTTCGATCCCCGGCACCGGTTCGATCCCCGGCACCGGTTCGATCCCCGGCTGCTCCCCGGCCACCGGAGGAGGGTCCCACATGGCGCACAGAACTCTCCTGCCGCCCGCTGCTCCCCTCAGCAGTGTACCTCGGTCCTTCTGCCTGCTCTGCTCCCCGCTCTGGCTCTGGTGAATTCTCTCACCCTCCCGCGCTTCTGACTGTACCCAGTGCATGTATAAACAAAACAAACAAATAAACAAATAAATAAATAAATAAAAAGAAAAGAAAAGACAAGAATGGAGATCAAGGCATGTGGATGGAAAAGGAAGAATGCAAAGGTCAGGTGGGCTTTGACACTGAAAAGCATGATGGACTTAAATAACCTAGTATAAAAAGTAGACGGGAGGAATAAAGGTCACTTTCCCACCTCCACTAACATAAACCAGTCTCTCTTAGGCAACCTCGACACTTTTACTAAGCTATGATTTCCGGCTCCCTCATTTACAAAGTATTTTTGGAAGCAACTTAGTATAAAGCTAAATAGTATAACGTAAACTCACTTCTGTTCTTCTCTGTATTAGTTCTAGTCGACAGCTCGAAATCTACTGCCTGAGGAAAGAAGACATTATGGAGCAAAAAAGGGAAACTCACCTCCCCAGGGAGCTTTCCCAGACAGCCCCACTTAAGATCACATTCCCCCTCCTACCACAACCCTCGTAGATCCTCCTCTGATCTGCCTTTCTCCTTAGCATTTAACACGGTGGACATACTATATTTATTTACTTATTTTGTATCTTGTCTGCCTCCCCATTAAAATATAAGCTCTGCAAGAGCAGAAACTTTTACCTATGTTCCCTTTATGCAAAACAGCACCTATGAATGCTCAGTAATTAATTGTTATATTAACATGATCTAATCTTTCAGGCATACACATACACAGATGTCTGTTAAAATAGGATTATTCTGGTGGCAGAATCTCTTAGAATCCCCGGACCACATAAGGATGAACACAAAGGAATCTCCAAAACCCATTAAAGTATATGTTTATGTGTGCGTACTTCACAGAAAAGCTAAGTAAGTTTCTTCAAATCCATTAGGGTCCATGCTCCCAAATGGTTCAGAAATACCATCCATCTATTCAGGTCTCACAACCAAAGTTTAGAGAAGTAGACCGAGTTGCCTAGGACTATGCAGCTCAGGGCTAGTAGAAATAGAAACTGAACCCACGAAATCTAATACCTATCTCTTTTGTCTAAATATATAAGATACTACACTTACATAAAGGATATTACCATTGCCATCAACATCTGTTAATATTTAGCTATTTTGGAAAATCAAAAGCATAAAGCTTCTGTACTGCTATAGGTTGGTCATTTAATACTAGATTTGCTACATGCTTCCCTGCTTTTCTGTCTATTTTGTTTAATGTTATTTACTAATTTAATGTCAATTTATTTCTTTAACAGTTGTGCCATGAAGAAAAGCCCCAAGGAGGGAAAAATGAAGTTTTCATTAGGATGAGTAATAACATCACAGGAAGTTATATTCTGAAATAGAATAGTCTAAAACATTTCCAATGTTAAGAGAAATATATTTCATTAAGTATCTCCTACACTAAGAATGTTCTGATAATTCATTACATGGAGGTGATCTTGAACCTGGGGAGGTTCCAGCCCCGAGTCCAAAGAATCAGAAGTCCATATACCAATATGTGAGTCAGTAAAAGAAGGAGGGGTACTAGAGAAACAGAGTGACTTAAATATTTTATCTGTGAGACAAAGGGTAAGAAAAAAATGAAATGAAAAGGAGAATGTAGCTTGAAAATCCCTCCTCATTCCAGCCCCCACTAAGAGTTATTTAGAAAGGAAATTATTGTGAAAACCTACTCAACAAGATTTTGAACTGAACCTAATTATAATCAGTATGTCATAATCTAACATTATATATTATAATTACTTAGAGGCATAGAAAATGTGAGAGTCAACCACTGACACATTAGGCACATCTGTATCTTACTCGGATTAATTTTAAAAATGCCCGGTGACACTGACACCACAGCCTCCCAGAATGAGGACAAGGTGACGCACATCCAGATAAATGAGCACCACTGGCATTACTGTGCCACCTGCTGCTGGAACAAAAAGAAATTCTGGACAGGTTTCAACAAGGGGTCACTCTTTAGCTTTGGAAAAATATACAATTATCAAAGAACCCCAAAGTCCATTTCAAATCAAAAGATTTTCAATTTACGGTGTGTGAACCAGAGCAAGCATTTCAACCTAGAAAAATAATTCAAAGCAGAAGGCACTTTTTCCTCTTAGGTAGTTATTCTTTAAATAAGTTACTTTAATAATTATAAAAGTGATTTATATTCACTAACAAATAATATTTAGAATAGACAAAGATATTTCCTTATCATAACCATTGCCTATATTCTATGACACACTACTACCATTACATTTCTCAAATTTTATCAAATTATAAATAAAAAAAAGTGACCCAAATAACTAACTTCAAAATGCTAATCACTACATTGACAAATCCAGTCTCCCTCAGAAAAAGAAATTTAAATAGAATTGACTTTTGCACCATACATTTGGTTCCCCGCAAAATGCACAAAAGACCATTAGCTAAAACACACACGGGAGAGGAATGTAAGTTACCTCCCTTTCAGAGGAGGCTTAAGTTAGAAACACATACTTCACATATTGCCCTAGGTGACCTCATTGAGATTTCTTGGTGGAGAAAGAATCATCTTAAGATCCTACTAGACCACACAAAAATGCCTTTACTTGAAAAAGTAATTCCGTTTTAAATCTGCAAATCACAGAAGCTAGACTTTTCCCTTAGTCAACAAAAGAAGGAGAGAAAAAGAAGTGGTGACATTAGAAATAGGAATTTGCTTTTCATCCTTTTCTGATATTATATACGTGTGTATACACACACATATGTATGTATGTATATACATCATATATACAGCATAACGTGTGTATCATATCAACTACTGGCAGTACAGGAAGAGCAAGTTACTATTATACAAAATACAATTCATCTATAGTTCATTTTAATGAGAATAGGAATAAATGACAACGTTTAATGTGACTACAGTGAAGACCAGGGGAGATACGTACTCCTGGCAGCGCTAGGGCTGTAAACTCAATGACGAGTCTGAACTTTACTCCAAGTCACCACGGGACATTAGGGCGACATTCAGAACTATCAGAGGATAGGTGAAATTCACCCATCTCTTGTAAGAGGCGGCACTGATTAGGCTTGCTCTATGCTAGCAGTGATAAAAGAGAGCTTAAAATAGTCCTGGGGGGCCTCCCCGGTGGTTCAGTGTGTTGAGCACCGCACTGTGAAACTGCCTCCAGTGCAGGTTCGATTCCTGGCCAGCCAGGGAGAAACCCACATGGCGCAGCAGACCTCCCCTGCCTTGCCCACTGCTCCCCTCAGCAGAATCTTTGGTCCATCTGTCTGTTCTGCTCCCAACTCTGTCTCTGGTGAATTCTCTCACCCTCCACGTCTCTGACTGTACCCCAGTTCTTGTATAAATAAATAAATCATTAAAAAAAAATAGTCCTGGGTTAGAGAAAGCAAACTTCTTTTGGTTTATCTGGCGTTGCAGCATAGCTCATGCGGCTTTGAGCAAAGACATGCATGTGACCCACTCTGGAGCTGAAGAGCAAGCTCACCTTGGTCACTGATGCAGGACAGATATGAAAGGGCTCACTTATATTCACTGTTTCTAGCTTCATCCCAACTGTGAAGAAATGACTTCGCAAATCTGCATGATCCTGCAGAGAAAAGGATAAAAACATTGAAAGCAACAATACTGTGAATTAACTCAGTGACTGACTGGATGCTATCCCTGCACATTTTATTGGGTGGCTGAAATCGGATTGAAATAATTAACCCTCCCCATTTCAAATTTCTAATTATTGCAAGATACTGTGGATTTAATTATTTTCTGCAGGCTAAATTGCTTTTCCAAGGGAGAGGAAGCAAGTCTTTGTGCCCATGCTTAAATTTGCATTAAGCCAAAAATTCACTTTGTATGGCTTTGATCTTCGTAGGTGCTATAACGGAAGCACAGCAGAGTAATAGAGGCAATCAGTCATCTCCAGCACAGCAGGAGCATCTTCAGAAAATGAGGCCTCTTGCTATTGGAGTTACTTCACAGGCTTCAGTGAGTACCTTCTGTGTGACATGGTTTGTCCCTGTCTCTTGTGTCTAAGAGCAAACAGCTTATCAGTTATTGGTGGTGAGCCAGTGATCTTCGAGCTGTGGGCATATAAAGGTCCAAAACAGTCCTGCAGATAATCAGAACCTTATCCTACTCCATAAAGATGAGCAACACCCCCTGTTTAATAGGTGTCTGGCAGTTTTATAACCCGCTCACGGCAACCTTATGTGTGCGAGATGGAGCTTTTCTGACTTCTCAAGAAAACAAATTTCAATATCCACTTTAGCTATACAGCAATAGATGAGGCTGGCTGGACGCTGGGTACCAGGATTTATCTTCCTGAGATGGAGGTCACCTCATAACTCACAGTCTGTATAAATAGTAGTGGATAAATAAATGTATTTGCAGCCTGTCCCTGAAGAAATAATAGCTGCAAATAAATCCTGCTATTTCTAAATACATCAATTGGGCAAGAAGTACAAAAATATCTGGGGATCTATTACTTTCTTTTATCTGCAAATCTAAAGTGGAGTTTTAATTAATTCAATGATGCCATTCTATATCTCCGAGGACTGCGCTGAGCCCCTTAGGCAACACCTGCTCCTGACTCCCCTGCAGAAGCTGTTCGAGGCGGTTGAGACCTGCGTTGGTGGAGTTTTCTTCACCACCCCATTGCCTTGCCAAAGAAGGTACAGAATATAAATGCCTATAGACTCACAAGGACCTTGTCTTTTCTCATTTAGACACAGCAGTCCACAAGGGCCCCTGTAGCCAATGGCTACACAATACACATTAGGTAGGGGTGAAGGAAATAGTGTTACATGAGTTTGGGGGGCCTGAGAGGGATAATAGGAACCAGAAGGGACAGAAAGGATGTGGCCAATATGCAAAAGGTTTACACAACAAAAACTCATTCAAAGATTTGGTCATTCCAAACCCTTACACATAAGAGCTTATACTCAATGTATTATAAAAATTATATGCATAAGGAAAAGGACAGGGAAGTATTTTAGGTACAAGAGAGGATTTTCATTTGTCAATACTAAAAAATATAGCATTTATTTTCAAAGGGGCAAGGGAAGGTGGCTCAGACAAGTAATGAAGAGATATAATATACTTAATGCATATTGACATATCAACCACTACGCTTAGGCAGAGCCAAAAACAGCAGGTGTTTAGCAATAATAAACCAAAAATTTAATTCAGAAAGACATCTGAATTTAAAAAATGAAAAGCTAACATCTCTATCAGACATCAGTGCTCCCAGTATCTCACAATCAACGGGAACTGAGGCACATTAGTGGATTTTGCAGATAAGCATTTTCCCTTTTAAACATAAACTCCCTAACCTTTTGAAAAGAGAAATTATTCTAAAGTTACAATAAAACTTTGCCTGAATATAGTCAACAAATTTAAGCATTCATTATTATCCTGTTTGACAATACAGAAATGTCCTCAAGCACTAATGACACATTTTTAGCTATAATAAATGGTCCAAGTGAAAGCTGTATTTTCACAGAAGTGCGTCAGTGTTCCCTTCTGCTATCAGATGTCCTTCTTTGTTGCAATGTTCCCTCTCATTACTCATAGCTAAAAGGCTAAACATTCTTGAGATGTGACTTTTAACTTCTCCCTGGATGCCTCTATGACCAGGACCCTCCTTGCAAATTCAATATCTCATCTGTTCTCCGGGTTACTTCCCCTTCACATTTCTGTTACAGAAGTGGGCTGACCACATTCTGGGCTTCTGGTCTACCCTCCATCTTCTCAATTTCAGTTTCTGTCCCCACACTTGGACCCAACATAATTTTGTTCCATCTTTGCCCTATGAATAGAGCCAGGCTTATTAGCAGGGTGAACCCAGGATGCTCAGGTCCTTTCTACATCCCAAGTGATCTTGACCACTGACTTGAAGTCTTCAGCCAAGTCTATGTCTTTAGCAAGTCTTTAGCCAACCCTACACTAAGGGTTATTCTTCAACTGTTGCTCTGTTTTATTCACAGTCATCTAGCAGGAACACATAATGGCTGCCTTCCCTTAGAAATAAAGCATCAAGGCTCAGGACAGCAATTTGTTCCTTAGATAACCTTCTCCTTTCAAGGTTGCAGGCTGTACTGCAAATGCTTATCATTAATGATTCCAGAGTAGTCTGCCTCAAACTATATCTCTAGGTTAAATGGGATCACTTTGTGTAGCTATTTTCCTTCTTTCTTGAGGTATCTATTTGTCAACTACTGAACATCTCTATCTTGCCACTCATTCATAAAAAATAACATTCACATAAAATCAAGCAGGACATGTACAGGATGAAAACAAAATATTAATGATACCAATATCTTTAAACAACTAAAATATTGTTGTCAATATTTTGTCATAATAGCATACAAATATTCTGTAGCAACTTAAAAACAGTGTGTAGTGATCAGAGGTTTATAAATAAGTTTTCCCTTTGCCAGTCAGTCATGGCTCAGATTTTCTACTTCTAAAATTATTTCTAGAGGCTTCAGGATCTAGCACACTATCTTCTTGCTCATGGAAATGCATTCGTTTTTGTTCCACACTATATGAAAACTCTTAAACCCTCCTGTTTAATAAACTGGAAAAAGAAACCAAACATATTAAGAAATAACTGATACAAACATAAGTATTTATATTTTGGTTGCAAATATCCACATGCAGCAATGATATGCTATTAAATTTCAACTCCAAATTTCAAAAACTAAACCTGGAAACTGCAAAATACATTCTTGTGTCCCAGTCTTAATTTCCACTTTCTTTTTTCTCCATCACCATCCTGGGGTCCCCTCATCTCTCCCCTCCCTCTTAACCTCAGAGCCCTCAGGATGTTTATTAATGTCCACTGATTTTTGAAACTATAAAGTTATCGAATTGTTACATAAATGTCCAGTATGTTTTATTGTTCTGACTTACTCTGCTACATATAATTCTCTCAAATTCCCTCCATCTTGTTGAAAATGGCTGCTTCTCATCCTTTCTTATGGCTGTATAACATGCTATGATATGGATATACCACATCTTCTTGATCCAATCGTCCAACAACAATGAACGATTTAGGGCTGCTTCCATATCATGGCTACTATAAACAATGCTGCTATGAACATTGTGGAATTGATAGGCTTTGTATTGATGGTTTCATATTCTTCAGATACATGCCCAAGAGTGGAATTGCAGGCAAGGTCATACAATATTTCCATTTTTAAAGTTAAATCCAGAATGCTTTCCATAATGATTGCACCAGTTTACATTACCACCAACAAAGTAAAAGGGTTTTTCCTTTTTTCCACATCCTCTCCAACACTTGTAGAGTCTCTTTAATATGAGCCATTTTCACTAATTCCACTTTCCTAAGCAATTTTTTTAAAACAAAAAATCCTATGACCATGAGAGCTCTCATCAGTTTCAAAGGCAAACTACCATTTTTAAAATCCAGGAGCAAATATACACAATGATTATGGATTTGATTATGATTATAAATCTGCTACACTAATGCTCATGCTCTAACAACGATGCCAGAAACTTTAGTATTAGGGGCAAAACAGTATTTTCTTACAGGACTTGTCACTGAAACCTCTGGTAACCGGAGACCTTTAAAATATATGACAGGGATCCCTCTGTCATAGTCCCTCTGACAAGTTAGGAAGGCAGGGTTAAGTCTTTAACATCTGGTCTCATAGGCAAATTTAGGCATTTGACAATTGTAAGAAATACAATTTTGTGTGATAATTAAAGATTCAATGCCACTGATTTCCAAATGAGCCAATACACAGCTCTCTGAGCTGTGTGTGTGTGGTGTGTGCATCCATATCAGTATATGAGAAAAGGTACACAAATTTTCTTTAAAAACAAGTTTAATCACCACAGACTATTTACTTGGGGCTAATAATGTAGGCAAAGTCCACAATTTCATTTAAATAAATAAGAGCAAACTGTTCGCCCTGTTAAGGAGAGCTCCTGGCCCCTGAAGAAGGTCCACAAAACTGATTATCTACTGAGAGATAATGGAAAATTCACAGAGGTTCAAAAGTACATCCTGGCCTTTGCAAAGCTCTAGAGGATCATTCACACCTTACAACTATTGGATCAAGAATGATGTTATTTCTGAAATCAGGAGGGATTACTTCTTCAATACATTTATAAAGGTGTCCTGTCACATCCAAGAAATACTGTTTATTTAAATATACTGGAGTCCTGTTAAATTGCCTAAAGAAAAACCTTTTTCATTGAGGAAATATTAAACAATGTCACTCCCATCTACACTCATCACGACACATTTTATTTTTACCCTAAAGTGGGTTTCTATTGAGCAGAAGCAAAATGACATTCATTTTATTGGAGGATGGCCTTACCAGCCTATCTCAACAATCGCTCTTCATAGAACCTTATTTTTAATTGAATGATAATGTAAAAGAGATTATGTATATATCAATACCTTCTCTGTTCATGTTTCATCTGTTTTAGTCTCTTCTGAATCCTAGTAGCTCTCTCTCTAAATATTCTAAAATATAGTCACTCTGCACTGATTTGGTAAATAATCTTGATTTGGTAAATAACCTCAAGCAGTTAGAAACTATGACAATATAAAGCAGGAAG